TTGTGACAAATAACACTTGCAACGGCTTTGTTTCTGGCTTTAACACGGCAGCCTAACAGCTTCTTCCCATTGAGCTCGATGATACGATCACCGATGGACACAGCATCTGCAGGATGCTCCTTAGTTGAAGGAGCCAACAGCCGCATTGAACCGTTTAATCATGTGTTAGGTATACTTCCTCAAGCAAGCTCACCCTTCAAGTCCTTTTTGAAATTCAACATGACCTCTCCTCTGTGGCACTTGCAGAAGTTGCCGTGACACATCGATCGCCGTGCATTCTGTAAGGTTCGCGCATTGTTCCACTTGGAAATGAGTCCTCTCCATGGGTGCACGTCTTGCATTAACAATTGCGGATCGGATATCGGCTGGCACGTAAATCATACAACGCGCGTAACACACTTGCAAATGCAAAGACCTTGCAAATGCAAAGACCACGTCCATGGTCCATTAAAAGGACATCCTCAAAATCACACTGCACATTGTGATTTTAAAGTGAGACCCCCAAACAAAAGCCGAGAACCCCTCGAAATATTCACCAGGACCCACAGCGAATGTCTGAGCACGTCCTGAGTCGATCAGCTCGCTCACCCTGGGCTTCGGACAACGGTTCGACTGCAAACGTCTTTTCCCGGGATACCTGACACTTTGCAACAAATCCCCGAATCTAGAGAACAAACACCTGGGTGTTTCAAGGTTTCAAGGGTTTAAAAAGGGGAAGGGGAAATTTGTGTGGCGCGCACCATGGTCTCTGTAGGCCTCTCTTTTCGGGCCCATGTCCTCCCCAACTCAAAATCAGCACAATAGACTTCCAGCAAATCTGTCAGTTGCTCACCTCAGGTTCCTTTTTGCACAGATGACAAATGTAAGCGCTCGAAACCCATGCACATCCATGGATCTTTCTAATGTTTAAGTTTTAGGGACCCTCAGGATAAGCTTTTCATCAAACCATAAACAACCCCCTCAGCGATGCACACGGCGCCAACGGATGAAGTCTTGTAGTCCAGCTTCATGCCCAACCTGAGCGCCGGTTACCTCTCGATCTGGATTTGGATTGGTGGATGGCTCAGTGGCTGCCTAAATGAGGGGCTTGAACCCCCAATCCCAACATGATTAGAGTTAGGCCCAGTTTTAGAATATATATATATATATCCCTGACAATCCAATGTATGCATATATCGCCTACATTGGCCGACGCCCGCGTTTTTCAACTACATTGACCGATAAACCTGAATGTAGCCAATTTTTGGGGACATTCAAACCGACAACTTCCGACAAGGGTTCCGACAAGCCTTCCGACAACAAGCTCGCCTCAATTTCGGCGACTCTATAAGACGACGCCCTCCAACCAGCCTTTTCCAATGCCTTTCCGACCGCTAACTTAACTCACAATGCAGGAAAATACAAAGGCACGCCGCAAATTGATGTACGGACAAAAATTAAACTGCGAATGACTGCAACAACTACAGGGCACAAACAGGGCACATAATGATTCGAGCCAAAAAATGTTGGTTGCCTGGCATGCAACAGAAGGAATCGACTAGCATAGTGTAGCAGATCCTGCTGAGGACTTCCGATTGTAACGTTAACCATTTTGACGGGCTGGCTGGCTTGACAAAACAGTGTGGCGACGAAGCACGTGTGCGATAGTTCAAACTTTTCAGGCCACACCGTGAAGCACGTTTCCAGCACTGGGTCACACTAAGGCAACGCCGGTTAGCAAAGATCACTCAACAAACATGATTATTGCGCATGGAGGACAACAAGTCCTTGCAAAACACCTCGCAGCAGGAGATCCTGCCAGCAGTCACTCTCAACAAAACCTATCCAAACGCTGATGGGTGTTGATACCCCCCCCAACCAAAAAGGTAAAGCAGAATGATGCTACATCGTTGTTGTCCACAGTTACACAATTTCGTCAACTTGCCCGTGCGTAGCTTAAATGTGTTGCTTCCTGATTGCTTGCAAGCTGCAACCTCTGGCTTTGCGAGCTAAGTTTCTATTATGTTTGATGCGTGCCCACGCAGGGGCGATGGATCATCATGACAAGCTTGTTCGCGGGCCATAAGCCGTCGACCGAAGGTAAGGGGTCTAATTTCCAACAATCACATCTCCAACCAAATACTTGCTTAACGCCGTGCCGCAACCCCGTCCAGAGCGCAGCCCGTCTTAAAAAGCCCTTGTTGTTCAAAGCAGGTGTTTCATTTGTTTCCAGGAGGCTCACTTTGAAAGCATGCTAGCCTGCTAGCAGTTCCCAAGCACCATTCGAGCGGCAACTGCTTGCCACGCGAAATTTCACTGGTCAGATAGAAATTAAGGCTCTAATCCTGCCATGCCCCATGCCGCAATGCAAAAGTCACAGACTTAACAAAAAACAGCTTTGTCAAACGAGATGTGCTGGGAAGGGCTCAAGCGGCGGTCTTGAGGAGAACGGATATGACGCAGTCCAAGCCCCATATGTTTGTTTTGCAAGGACTTGGTTTATCGATGAAACCCAACAAAAAAGGGCACGAGTAACATGTTTGTCTAATGCTCTCCTTGATTAAACATGTCCTCGTCAGCTTCTCTCCGAATGTTTTGGGGCATGCGCGCTAGTATTCCATTTGTCCGACAAACGCTTCTCCGCTGATAAGTTCTAGGCTGGCTTGCCAGGTGACACAATCAATCAAGCCACATCACTTCCAACTTCCAACTCATGGTGCAAACAAAAATCGAGCCTCGTCCGACGTGTCAACACATGAACACAGTCCGGCGAAAATTCACGCTATTTCACGCTATTTCACGGTTTTCCGTTAACGTAAGCAAAAATAAGAAGACAATCCGACAACTTTTCACGCCAAATCACGCCAAATCACGGTTTGCCGTTTGCACAAGCAAAGGACAGGAACACAATCCGAGAAGAAGTCACGCAAAAACATCGAAATTTGGCGGGTCATTTGCTCCAAATCACTTGCTAATTTTGGGCATGCAGGTGTGAAGAACATGGTAGGGACATACTTTGGTCAGCCAGGGGGAATAAACGGACCTTTGCTGAACTGCTTTTGGGTAGCAACAATAGGCACCTGTTGGGCCTTTAGTAGACCAAGCTTTGAATAGGCAAGACTGAGCTTATCGCATGGTTGATGCGATCCCAGAGCTGATGCGAGTAGACAATCCGGATGCCGAGTCTCCAGCATGCCAATGAAAACTGAAGATCACTGAAGACATGCATGCTAAGCTTGGTGGCTCCTTATCCGAGTTTACATAGCAATAAGTATTGCCAAGCTAAAAGTTGACATACAGATTGCGCGTGCAGCATCATATATCCCATGCTCAATCGGCAAAACGCCAGGTCTGCCTAATCGCAATGCAGTCATTGACCTAAACCTACAAATAAGAACAATGCTTTATGTTCTGAGCTTAGATATTCATCATCTGCATGTGTACATAAAGTCTTGTACATGTGCATATACATAAATTTGCACCTGCGTAACATGTGTATGTCTATGTTTTGCTTAGCGGAAAACGCTTTTTGCTAAGATAAATTTGGAATTTCTTTTTGGTATGCTTGGACATCTTGCTGCGTAGATTGAGCACACTTGAATGGCCAACAGTTACTGGGTGGCAGTTGGGAGTCGGCTCGGCAGGCCAATTTGGCTTGGCGCTCCTCATCTCAATCATTCGGCACAGCCAGAAACATGTCCATACTTGCACTCGCGTGTAGGCTGTACTGTTGTAAAATGAATCCCTGGCAGTTGATAGCTGGCTGTGCTTTCCAATGCGGCTCAAGGTCGGCAAGTCCGTGCCTTTGACGCAGAGCATGTTGAATTTGTAAGCTTATCATTTCAAATACGTATAATCCAAGATCAAAGCACGTTTACTTGGGCAATAGAGCTCGAGGGTGGCTTTGCGTTGCACGGTTGAACAATCTGCGTACTCAATACTTAGAGCGGCTTTCTCACAAGAGTGCACCAACGCTGCACGCACACACAGTCCCATAAGAACGGCCCAAGTGCACGAACAGAATTTTTCCTGCAATTGTTGATTTGTTTGTTTGGCGTAGCCTGCTCATGCGGAAAAAACACTTGCAAGAGTCTGATGGCGAGCTCTCAACCATCGCTAGCTACAAACGTCATCAAATGTCCATGTCAGTAACGCGGTGTTTACATTTGCTGACGCAAGTGAAAATTAATATAGCAAGCATGATCATTGGACCCATGCAAAACAAATATGCTCAATAAACTCCGCCACATTCGGGTTGAAATTTGACTATCGGACACGAGCTTCGTCAAATCTCATCATTTGCCAGGCCACATTTCGACATTCGACGGGGATTCGGCGAATGTATCATTTTTTTGGCTATATTTCGACAATCCGACAGGGATCCGACGAATGTTGTCGTTTTTTTGCTACATTGCCAATGTACCCCAAAAATGGCTACATTGCAATGTACGCCATATTTGCCTACATGGATTCTCAGGGTATATATATATATATATTTATTGTGTGCTTCACTGTGAGTCACTGGTGAAATGTAAAATGTATCCTAAGTCTACCCCAGCCAAAGGGTAATCTGCCAGCGGAGAAAAACAAAGGCGGGCGGTGTTGCTGTTAAGTATTGCTCCTTCTGACGCATGCTGACTCTACGATTATGAATGAATGCCTGTTCCAGGCTAACAAAGAGCCGGCAAATCTGGTGCACCTGTACACCTACAAACCTAGTTCCATGGTGCGTCAACAAGGTATGGGGGGGGGGGGTTGTTGAGGGTATCCCGTTTCATTGTTTCAACGGGACACCAAACAGACACCGAAAAAAACATATGGCCATGGGTCAAAATCCAAACTGTACCCCCAGTGAACATCCCAATCCCCGCTAAAATAGACTAACATGGTCATCCATCGTGTTACGGACAGCGAGCACTCACATCTGAGCCCGCCGCCCCCCAGGCTTGGACACGGTCACCTTCACTTGTCTGGGCCGCATGAAGCTGATCGTGGCCGACTCCTGCGGTAGCTTCCCATTCCTCAGAGGGCACCAAGAACTTCCGGTTCATGGATTCATTGCTTTCGAACCGGCGCTTGCAAAAATAGCGCCCTCGCATTCGTGTCCAACTTGTATGAATCGTCTACTTGTCAAGGTGCCGAGCAGGCAAAAATGATCAAATATGCTCACAGCTCAGTGAAATCCTTGAAGCCTTGTCGAATGCAAGCTGGTGGTTGCTCTAAATTCTTTGTTGCAAACGGCCATCGGCGCAAACAAACACATCTTTCACGTAGACGCGTAGGCAAAGCTTCACGGAGTTGTCTTTACAAAGCCGCCAGTTCTTTACTATCAAAAATATTTACCTGGGTCAGTTGGTATGGGCCCTTGATATTGCACCTTGCACCTTGCACTGTCGAGGATCTTACCCGAAGCATGGCCGGAAGGCTTACATCGATGCTGCAATTGTGCCTCAAAAGAATCAAGACCCCAGATGTCGTCTTGGCAACATAGATGGCAGTGCGATAAGGACCAAAAACACACCAGTGCCATGCTGAATTCGACCAAATTTACCTGACAGGATACTTGGGTGTAAAACTTACAGAATGGGCGCCTGATGGGTGGTGGGTTCTTGAAACACACAGATTTTGTAGTTCTTTGCGTATGTTTCCTTGGTACGTTCAAAAAAATCGAGAAAACCAACAACAAAGGAAAACACGTTTTCTTGGTTTTCTTGAGGTGTATTTGTTGCACGTTTCCAAAAACAACTTGAGAAAACCAACAAAAACAAACACATGTCAGACAGTAACTCAGCCAGCATGGATACATAGGGTCTATTTTTTTGTTTTGAGGTTGGGGTCAGCAGAAGCAAAAAATATCGCAACAAGGACCATTTGCCATCGCGGCCTGGGAATTTCACCTGCTAACCGCAACCAAGTTCTATTAACTTTCCTTACCGTATTACCAGGTGATAGCAAAAATCTAATTGAAATTCTGAATGCTTGGAAAGGAAATCCCATCTAAATTCTGATTCAAAACAATAACTATAATTGAAACAAATAGAAGAAACTACCAGCTTGCATTTCCTTATGTCTAGTTTTACGCATGTCAAATGAAAAAACTAATTGAACGCACATTCCCATTTAGATTTGGAAGGAATTCCTGTTTACAAGACACTCAAAAATAATAAAGCAACATATACATATATATGTTCCCGTCGCCCGTCGTCCCCAGCCCCCCGCCCCCCAAATGGTATGGGTCCATCGGGGGGGGGGCCTTGGCCGGCCCGCCCCCCCCACCCCCACAGAGGGGGTGGGGGGGCTGGTGGGGCGGCTTGCTCCAGTGTGCGCGCGACGTTGCGGGCGCGTTTGCGGCGCTGTTCGTGTGTTGCGCTGCAATGCGATTTGCTCATTTTGCAGCACGCGACAAGTTGCAGCACTGTCGCAATTGACAGTGCGCGATGCCACGACGCAGTTTGCGGTTTGCAGCGCCGCAACCAAGTGCTAACCAAGTGCGCTGCAACGCGCCAGTGGCAAACGCACTTTGCTTGCTACCTATTATAGACCCCAGCGGGCGATGTGGGAACCATGGTCGCGGGGGCTTTGCGGTCACACTGTGCTACCATTCTCCCCAACCCCCATTCCCACAGGGGGGCGGGGGGGGTGGGAACTATGGACCCCCCCCACCCATCCCACAGGGGGGCTTGTAGGGTCACACTGTGCTACCCTCTTGACTGAGCATGACCATTGGGGGGGGGGGGGTGAAAAATACATAAAACGGCATTTGTAACACTAAAACCAAATATTCAAACAGCATACAACAAAATCAGCAAAATTCACAGAAAACAAGATAAGAACCACTAAGCAACTCAAAAACCAGAACAACCCCCAACAAAATATTTAATCACAGCATAAAACATTAAATAATTCAAACAAGCATACCAACAAAACAGCAAAAATAAAAACCATCAAAGAACCCAATCTCAAAAACACACAAAATCAAAAACAAAGCAACATACCATCAAAAAATATCAGAAGAGTATCAAACAAAATAAAAAACAAACAGCCAAAGCACGAAAAAATCAAAAGAGCATACCAAGTTCAAACAACGCACTTTGAAAGAGTCAGCCAAATCAAGAAAAATATATTTCAATCTTTACAAACTATAAGTTCAGTATAATTATAACATATAAGATTTTACATGTTATTATTATAGTATGATTATAATTTCAGTACAGGATAATAATTTAATTGACAAATATTTCTTCTTTCATACATCATTTTAAAAATAATATTAATATCTCTCAATGTATTTTGAATATTAAACTTTTTACTTTCAATAAATAATTTGATATTTTCTTTAACATCTTCTCCTTTATCTTGACTATAACACAACAACCATAATATATCATCCATCATTTCATATTTTTTCTTACTAATTTTAAGAAACTGTTTAACATAATCATAAGGTGGTATTTTATTTACAGTTAGAAATATTAAAATCTCATCTTCTACATTTCTATTATTTATTCTTTTTATTCCCAACACACATTTGATTAAAGTTTGATTATCTCTCCAATTTATACAATTTTCACGGCGCAGTTGCAGAATGTGCAGATGTCAGACTAGGATGTATCACACAAGGGTCATGTGTGATGGAATGCACCATCCCACAGCTCAAATCTAGCATCCAGCATGTCAGATTCAGCGTCCAGCATGTCAATTTCAGCATCCAGCATGCACCCAGCATGTCAGATTCAACATCCAGCATGTCAGTTTCAGCATCCAGCATGTCAGTTTCAGCATCTTACATGTGGCTTTCGTCTTTCTTTGTGCTTCCATCATGCAAGAAGTATTGGCACGTGCCGACGCTCGACTTCATCTTCGGTCGGGCGCTTGACTGGAAGCCTTCGGGTTTGGGTGCGTGTGTGTTTGGGGGGTCGTTAGATTGCCCTTTCGGATTTCCCTCTCGGTGGTTTTTGGGGTGTGGGTGTGTTTGGTTCTTTTCTGGTGTGAGCGCGTCCCCCTTAAAGGCTTCGCCTCATCCGCGATGAATGCAATGATGGTGGATGTTGTGATGAACCACCCTAATTCAAACTCACCAACATTTCACTAATTAATTCGCTAGGTATTCTATATAAATCTTCCTGCTTATGTATTGTTGGATTGTCTCCCCATTTTTCCTTAGTGCCCGATGGTAGTCGTTGCACTGTTTCAATATGTTTATTATTCCTGATGTTGCCACAATCCTTTTTACAAAATTCTCTAGGTTTCCAAGTTGTAATGTTATTCCATAGCCTAGTGCGTTTTCTGTAAGGCATTCCATATTTACAATAATCTACATCTTTAAAATCAAACTCATCCATAAACTCCTGATTTTTTAATAATCCAGTTTGAGGATTTTCGATTACAAAATACTTAGGATTGAAATATTTGATAATCTCAATAGTTTTTAAGACAATACTATTTGCATATTCGATATTCCTAATGCCCCTAGTTTTTGCTACACTATATTCAGTGCATGGAGGACTTGCCCAGATAAAATCAAAATGGTTCCTATCAAATTGTTTATAATCCCATTTCAAAATATCAGTATTTATATCAGCATTTTTCAAATCCAATGAAATAACATTGAAACCGAGCGACTTTGCAACAAGTCCAACACTGCCTGTTCCGCTAAACATCTCTAATAAGTTCATTATTAAAGATATTTAGATAATATTATCTATGAGTAAATGCAACTTTATGAATAAACCCCTGTATCTTCATCATAGTCGATTTGATAAAATGTCATAGTTGAAGCCTTCGGTTCTTTAATTTCTTTGTTATTAAGTTTGTTTAAATACGTTTGTTTCTTATTTTTATATTCAGCACTGGTTCTATCTACTTCTTTACTTTGATAACTGTTTGTTAATGGTTTCTTCTTTTCCATTTCTTGCAAGATTTCTAAAATATTCTTATTCTGTTCTAAAACCTTGTTCAGTTTTTTAACAATCTTTTCTAATCCTTCATCCATGTAATATATATATTATATTATAAAATAAAACTTTTAAAACTAAACTTTTATTTTACAAAATCATATATCATTATAAGTCAATTCAAAATTAGTTATTGTGTAACTCGTTAAATTATTATTCAATTTACCAATTAAATTACAAATAATAGTTTTTCTAAATTTTGAATATTTATGAAACTTTTCAATATTATCTGTAATATAAATTATTAAACATTTAATACATTCAAACACATTAACAACATTAATGTTACTATTTTTGTAAATATTATTCATTTTTCTCAATGTAATTTCATAAAACTGAATAGCATTTTTATTATCATAATTAGCAATAAATCTTAAAGTATATGAATATATTCTTTTACAATAAAATTTTAAATCTGATTGTTCAAATAAATCAGCATAATTAATAGAATTATAAAACATGTTAAAATCAATTTTGCTATTTCTAAAGTCATTAACAAAATTAATTAATATATCATTTTCGTTATATTCTTCAATAAAATTATTTAACTTCAATTCTTTTACATCAATGAATTTAAGAATATTATTTATACCATCTTGCATTATAAATAATAATAGAAATAATTTTAACTATTATTTTTTCATCATTTCGCGTATAGTTTCCTGTGTTTCCCTATCGCCATTCTCGGTTGGTGATGCATGCCGTCCCCATTTGATAGCAATATTATGAACATCTGTTTCTAAGTTTATACTGTCTTTAGTTTTATCAATATTCATTTTCTTATCATTTTTACTTATTTTGAAACTGGTTGGAATACACGAACATTTACAATGTCCTTTCTTTTGTATTTCTAATTCATTTTTTAATTCTAACATCTTTTTACACATTGGACAAGCAAACTCAATAACTGATGTTTCTTTAACAATTTCTTCTTTTTCTCCATCAGTTGAAGAAACAACTGATTCTGTCTTATTCTTTTTCTTTCTCCCCATCTATATTAATATTTATATTTTTAATATATTGTATCACAAACTTAATTAATTCTAAAATAAAATAACATATTTTTT